GAATCTGAGAGCATAATCTGTTTTTAGACTTTCATTTCTGTGACTTCTGGAATTTCTGGCTTTTATTCAACAGCTACTCCTGAAAGCTAGACTATTGGAAGAATCCGTTTGGTTTTTTAATATAAAAATAAAAGCAACATTTTTAAAAATGGGACAACCTTCAGCATAGGTTTGACTAGCCCGCACCGTCTCTGTTCATTGCATTGTTATGCAAGGATAATTTAAGCTGACTTATCACCGCTTGAATTCGAACAGATTGCTTTTTTAAAATAGCTTCATTTCTCATGAAGAAAGTAAAATACTTGAGAATGTTCTTTAAAAAAATATAGCAGAAAGTAATTATTCAGAATGGAAATATATGACAGGACTGAGAACCAATAGAGAGATGTAAACTGATCAGAACTAGTTTTTCTTCCTCCCAGGGGGGAGGAATACTTCATGTATTAGGCTTACATATAGGCTTCTGCCAGTTTAAATCCTGGGAGTTGACATATTAGCTTTCTGTACTTGATCCTGGGGGATTTTGTACCATCTCGGCCTCCAAATTTCAAAGTAGGTCGAGTTGATTCAATTGCTACTTAGACCAATCAAGAGAAGAAGTTGAAATGAAAGTGAACTGGGGAAGAATGCAAACCTTGGCATGAGCAGCAACAGTGTTTATTCTCAAGTCAGTTGGCTTTTGTGGACTTAAGTGCAAAATAATTCAGATAAGTATTGTGTAAAGAGATCGCAAGAAATGGGATAGCTTTGTGGGGTTTTTTGTGGTTTTTTGACTATCTGTGGTTTTTTGACTGTCTCTGGGAGCATTTTAAAGAACAGTTTGGGGAAGAGATTTAGGTAATTGAAACCAAGCAATAAGCATGTTTGTAATTTGAATAAGTTTTTTGGGTTTCTTCTTTTTTTTTTTTTTTTTAAATTTTTACATTAAACTAGCTGTCTCATCTTCATACTGTTCATTATCGGATAGAATAGTGAATGGGATGATGCTTTGGTGAAACTGACTTGCAGTTACCTGAGATAAAAAGATTAGATGATCAGTACCCTGTACTCTTGAGTACTTGGGTTATTGCTTGTAACAGATTAAGAATGAAAGTACAGACTGAAATAGCTCAGGCATTATATTGGATTTATAGCTTTTCACTTTTTATTGTACACGAGCTGATGAATGCATTTTGGTTTCATGTTGTGTCAGGAGCATAGGCTAAGTAGTGTTATGGAGAACCATTATTCTTCAAACTGAACTGTGATTTGTCTTAAATATAGTGTGTTACATTGTTACCATTTTCCAGAGCTGCATGGAAGGTATGTTAAGTGATTAAAACAGGAACAGTAAGTAAAATAAATTGGAAATACTCCATTTTATGGAATTTCTCTATTGAACTCTTTGGCTTTGCCCTTTCCTATGTCTGTTTCACCAAGCTGAAATATTCTGACATAGAAGCTGTACCATAATCTAGTTGTCATTTTCTTAAAATAAATTAAAAAAAAAAAAAATCAGTTCTTGCGATCGTGTCCTAGTTTGCAGTTAAGTTCTTAAATATCTCTTCTGTAGTTCAGTAAGATTTTATATACTGCTATCTTGTAATTTGTAGCACATTGACTCTGGTGCATTTAATTTTGCTCAATTGTTGGTAGGTTGCAGCAGGACAGGAACTTCTAGAAAGTAGTTGTTTTTTTTCCTTCTTGGAGGCTATGTCACTGTATAACCCAAGAAATAGTCATCCTCTGCCTTGCCCCAGTGTCTAGGCTTTATGAGCAGTTATAAATTTCTTGAATTCGAGGTAGCAACTTCTTTCTTAATGTGGAAAACATAATTAAAAACTGTAATTAATGATTGGACTATTTCTGCTAGTTGACCTTCCAATATGTTTCCCTTGTAGATGTTTAAGCCTGTGCGTTGTCAGAACAAGGTCTTTTCTTAAGAATTTTAAAGAATTTTTCCCTGTGTGTGAGGTTCAGTATTAGCATCCTGACAGGAAAGTTGTGAAAGTCTCTGTTTCCCTGGGTTGGGAGGTGGTGAAAACTCTGCTCTGCTTTTCAGTAGCAATGACTGAAACGAAGGTACTGTTGTTGTTTCAGAGTTGCTTCTGCTCTTACTCTCTCTGCTCATATTTAATTAACCTCTCCATTTTGCAGGGAACTGATAGCTGATGGTCAGATATACTTTTCCTTTTCTTTACCCCTGCCTGTTTAGAGGAACTGTATGAGGTGCTGCTGGCCTGTCTGAGCAGAGCACCAACCTGCCTATTAAAATCCACAGCTACCTTAAAACCTTAAGTAATCTTGCAAATATGACCAAGAGCGAAGCCAGACAGTTAAGTTTAGGTATGACAGATGGTAAAGTCTAGAGAAGAAGTATTGTGCAACTCCTGATTCAAGGTGGGAAATACGTGATTAACTCATCTGTTTTCTGCACCAACCTTCTGAACCTTTTTATCACAGGATATGAGACACTACCATTTTACTCTGACTTCTTCCTGCTTTTACTCTCTAGAGTACTGTTTCACACCTTCAGATCTGATGTTAAGCTACGACTCGTCTGTCTGCCTTGAGATGAGGAAACTTTCTTTGCTCCCTTTCTAGCCTCCCTTTCCTAAATCTCGGTGTTTTCACAGGTGCGCTTGCCTTCCACTGAATATGGCAAGATGTGTGCATGAGACTTTCAAAAGTTTTCTTCATTCATCAGGCAGCTCTTTGAAAGAGGAGGTGATTGATGTTAGTTGCTTAAAATGCCAGGGGAATTTTGGAAGGGAGGGTTTAACCACAGCAATACAGGTCCTCAGAACTGTATGATTTGCACACTTCACGAGGTAGCACATGTGACTAATCCATCCCACTGTAAACGGCGACTCAAATGACATTAACAGCTTTGTTTCATACCCTGAAATAACCACCCTCTTATTCTGACTTTCCTGTAAACTTTACTACTGTTAATTGAACACTTTCAAGGGGGAGCTTTCATTCCCTTGTTATGTAGCTTCTATTTAGTAAGCCCTGGAATGACTCACTTTTTGTATTCTAACATGTGATATGTAAGACTTGAAATAGTGAGAAGTATTTTCGCCACTGTTATTTATAGAAACTTGAGTTACAATGATTAATATATCCAAACTCAATACCTTATTTCCAAGAGTTATTAAACTGAAATACTCTGGAAAACAGCACCTCTAGATTCAAAATTAGTTTTGTAGGCTATGCCTAGCTAGCACTAGCAGTGGTTACCCCATCACCAAAGACTGTGTAAGAGTTAGCCAAATAAGATTGTCACAGTTTTTTTGTTGCTATTTTGGTTAGTGCAACATGGGGCTCTGCTGAGGACGGGTAGGGAACTGAGGCACTGTAGAAACTAAATAGGGAGCAGAGAATAATTCAGTCTGTGTTATCCAGGGCTCCCAGCCCATAGTGCTGTTCTTAGAGGGTAGCAGGGATGGTGCCTAATGCTGGGTAGGTGAACTTGAAGACACAATTATTTCTCTGCCATGGAAGCAGGATCTGATGCCTGTGTATGACAGTGAGTCTAGTTTGCTCACTGAGGCTTACAGATGTCAGGGAGTTGTTGTAGATCATTAGTATAAGGACAGCTTTGGTCACCAAAAAGGCCAATTCTACCTTGGTGGATTATCACTCAACACAGAGCATTTGATATGAACAGTGCTGATTGAGATGCGTAGCTGGTAGACTGGTGTAGCTGAAACTTCCTAGTCTGCCCCCCTTGCAGATCTCTCCTTTTGTGCCAGCTAAATGTGGGGAGACAGACCGCAGCTGGCCAACTGCGATCATCTGCAAGTGACTTACCACTAAAAACATAGTGAACACCTAACATGCTGGGCTTTCCTTTCATCTAACTCTTTTTAGGGACTTTGCACTGTAGCATGGAAATTCTTCACAGGATGAAGGTTTGAGTGTAGCTACTGCTGTGTTGATATAGCAGTTTTCCCTGTGCTGAAGATGAAGCTGCAGACACAGCTCCCCGTATTTGATCCTGTCTTCCCAAGAAGCCTGTAGTTGTGCGTCACGCTGTTGATGTTGCATGGAAGCACTTGTGGCAGATAATCAGTGTACCAATTCCTGTACAAAGTCTATGCACCTACTTTACTACCACAAATGTAAAATGCTGAAATATTTCTGAAAGTGGCTCAAGTACTTATGAAAGCTAAATGCCCTTTCCTCTGGCAATAGTCGGTAGAGAGGTGTACTTGGTGTCCTCTTAAAATGACCTCCCAGCAAAGCTTCCCTGTATCTTCTCCTTGCTTCTTCCAGCAACATAAGCTACCATTAAAATTACTGTGTAAATGCATTTCTATATGGCAAGTAGGGAGATGAGCTCCTTTTAAGTCCTTGTGGTAGGAACTGAAGCTGCCTTCTGTTTGCAAAAGCTCTGTCCCATCAGCTGGAGATGCTGATGAAACATGAGGACATCTGGCCCCATTTGTGCAAGTGAAGTGTCCACTTCTTGAAGCATAGGAAAGTGGCTGCATGAGAAGGCCAGAACATTGCCTCCAGTGAAATATTCACCTGTGAGCTCATCATGCCATTTAAAATGGCACTAAATGGAGTGTTGTGCTCTGCTAAAGCAACATCTGTGCTTTTTAGGGGTATTACATCAGTTTGCCTCTCTAAGACTAATGTATGGCAAACAAAACCCATTGCTATCTATTTTAAAGGCTAAACATTACCATGTTTACCTCTTAGCTTTTCAGAAAGTTTTTAGCTTTTATTCTGAGCTTCCAGCTGAGCACTGTACGAATGCTGTGAATTCTTCCTGGTGGAATATGGTGCAAACTTCACAGCACTGTGTCACAAGAAAACAGTTGGGCACTTGTGTATTCAAGGTGAAGCTCTCACACAGCATGCGTTTTCTTCTAAAGCTTCCCAGCAAATGCTCCTGCAGGTTTGGTTGTACGTTAGGCAGACTTAATAAAGATTTTTTTAATTTATTTTTATTTCCCCTCGAAAGATGACTGACTTTGATCACCCCATATGCTTTTTCTTTCCTTCAGTGATGGGGAGGGAAAGAAAAGAACATCAACTGTCTGCAGCAGTGAATCTCTAAATGCTGTGGGGGCCACGCTCACACCTCGCCGCATCTCCTGGCGGCGGAGAATATTCCTGCAGGTAGCTTCACCTATGAATAAATCTCCTTCCAAGATGCAGCATCCAGGTCTGTGTGTGCTTTTAAAGACAATAAACAAGCAGTTGTTACTGAATAGTTATTACTATAGTGAACTGCAACATAGGAAAATATGAAAGGGAGAAGGGAGTCAGCTTGATACAATATTCTTGCTAGAGCCTTGCTAGAGGTCACTTGTGCTCAGTTGGCTTTAAGTCTTTGTCGCTTTGAACAGAGGATTCTGTCATCAAAATCAAATGAATCGCAATCTGCCATGGCTGCAATGATAGCAAGGAAATGAAGAACTGCCTCTTGCTGACAAAGATATCCTTTTTAATGGTTAGCAGATTTTTACCCTAGACTGCTTATGTGATAGCAATGTTTGCAGAAAACGGCAAATTTTCTGCTTTGTCCTTGCACTGCATATAGCACCTGTTGAAGTGTATTAATAATTCTTATAGCTTTAGGTCATTTAAGATAGAAACCTCTGAAATATCTGAAATCCTGCTATGTTGATAAAGTCACGTTGGCGGAATTGACAACCATGGGTAAATGACAAACTCATATTTAGTGACCATCAAGTGCTATAGCACTGCCTGCAGCTTAGCACATGGAGAAAGTTTCTTTTAGTATAGAGCCTGTGGTAAATCACAGCAGTAAACAAGTTCAGCTGTAAAGGCGACTTTAGGGATAAATGTCCCTTTGTAACTCTAGAAGGAGCTAGCAGGGCAAAGGGTTGAAGTACTGGGTGACCTTTTATATAGCTTTATTTTGTTTAAATATAACTTTAATTTAAATTAAACACTTTATTTGACAATAATTATTTACTGTTGAACTGCATTTTCTCTATCTTTGGAATCGGCACCTTGCTGCTGAATGTGGAAGACAACTACTTTTGTTCTGCTGTGACTTAGATTTTTGTGATATGTCAAACAATCCAAGTTTCCTGTAATAGCTCTCTGATTCTTTGCAGATGGTCATGATGGAAGTGAATTGTTACCATTATCCCCTCTTGCTCCACCCCTGGAGGAGGACCCTCTTGTTCTAGTATTGCAAAATGAGGATGGTCCAGATAAAACTGGAGAGAGGAAAAACTCAGAAGAACTACAAAGTCTGTGGAGAAAAGCCATCCATCAACAAATTCTGTTACTTCGAATGGAAAAAGAAAACCAGAAGCTGGAAGGTTAGCTATTTAGAAAATAACCCTAAAAACTATAACAAATTCTGCTGCCTAAGCTGAAAATTGTACTGATGTTGGGCGTCTCAGAGATATGCTTCTGTAACTTTTTGCTTGACAGTGCTAGGAAAAAATGTGTTCGCCCAGTCCTATCTCACAGTCTTTCAGGTTCTCTGTCTACTTACCAACACTTTAACTAAGGTGACTCATGACAAAGAAAGTGATAACTTTTCTTTTTTTAGTGCATGTTAAACAAAGGTTGCTACAGTCTGTGTTCTAGCTGACTAAGTCTAGGAATTCTAATGTGGAGTCAGGAGGTGATGCCGTGTGAACACTTAGGTATGGCAAACCTTACCCTCTGTATCTCGTTTCAGTCCTTTGTAGTGCATGGTGTTTCTGTCCAGGCTTTCTGTCCTTCATCAACCACATCACAGTGGCAATTTATAAATATTTGAATCCAAATATGATTTTTGAACAACTGGCTCTTGAGGATGTCATTAAGTTCTTTTTTCGGAAGATAAGCACTGTACACTGAAAATTGAGAGCTGTTACTGAGGGATCTGAAGTTGGCCATGCTGACTTGTCAGCTGCCAGAGCTTCTGGCTAAGATACTTTATTATGACTGGTGAAGACTTACACAAATGAAAGATAGGATGCAATGTCTGTCCTAGCATATACAAGTTCTTCAGTATAATAGACTAATAGTTTTTGGGCAAGTTGAAAATGTCAAATGTCCTCTCTGCAGTTGCTGCCCTCATCTTCTGTGTGGTGTATAACCTCATTATATGGTAGTCTGATTCTTCAAACAAAACATAATGATCTTGTTAAGGTCAATTAACTCTTTTTCCTTCTTTAATGGTGCTTACTGAGAAGGCAGGGAGAGGAAAATAAAACAGCAGGATAGAAATGTTTGCACGTCCCTACAAGTATACATCCTTGAATATATTTCCTACAAATGTAGCGTATTTCTCTGCACTCTCTCTATAGTTTGTCTCCCTGTTGACACACACTTCTGTGGAAACCCCTAGATTCGTAGGGAACATCTACAGAGAAGTGTGTTTTAACTTCAGCCAAAATCTTCATTTATTGTTTTAGCAAATGGTTAGTCTACTGTTGTGGGGTGGTGAAGCTGGACGTCTGCTGCAGTAACTAATTTCATGTTTTTCCCTCTGGTAGTATGAGCTGCTGAGGGACAAACGCTTTTCTGTACCCACCCTGTGTGGCTGGAGGTACTGAAAACTGTTAAATCAGTCCAGTTCCTTAAGACTCAGTTATAAGTTATTTCCATTTTGTAGCAGATATGCAGAAAATAAATTCTGCCTGCCTGTTCATTTGTGGCGAAAACAGGAGTGTCGGCCGTGGAGACTCCAAACTGGCACTCATCTGCAGCCCACATCTTGGTTTGTGCTCCAAGGAGCATGTCTCCTGTGTGCAGGTTCCTAAGTACTGCTAGTGAAAATGGTGCTCTAGCTAGTTAGAATTCATCACCTTATTTTCAAAGGGTAAAAAGTGAACTGTCTTAACACCTATCTCTAGGCTTCCTGTGGGCTGCTGTAACATGGGCCATTTTACAGACACAACGTGCAGAACTGATACATTCCAAACAAGTGCTGGTGCAGGCAGTGGTTGGCATCCTAGCCTACAATTAAATGTAGATCTCAGGAATGGGAAATGTAATAACTGAAATGCAGCCATTTCTCCACTTGAAGCCAGGTTCCTAGCTGTGAATTTATTCAGCTGTATATGACTGGTTTAAGACAGGAATTGCTGTGGAATTGTTTTTAGTGGTTTTCTGTTAATGTTTTGTCAATTTTTATTTACAAAATATTAATAGAATCTCTTTTCCTATTCCTTTTGCTGTCGAGGAGACTTGAATACTGTTAGCTCTTTGTTTTACAGAAGGTAAGTTCTGTGAATTGCACAAACTTGCTTTTATTTTTGCTTTTTTTTTGCTTTCCCTGAGAAGCTGTTTTTTCCAGTAGATCACCTAGAAATATAAAAACTACAAAAAGTAGCAGGCCACCTAGCAATGATTAGGAAGAATGTTAACAAGGATGGTTGCAAGCAGCCAAGGTTGGCAGAGTAGGTAGAGCAAGTACAATCAACAGGCAAGCTTGCTGGCTTTCACTAGGGTTAATTGCAGAGCCAAAGTACTATTCAGTGAACGATAACCTGTGTGCTTAATCCTGGAGTTCGCTGTCACGCTGAAATATGTTATGCTGTCTTGAATCTGTTCCATATCGCTTATGTGAGCATTCTCAGATGAAATTGTACAGCAATAGGGTATCATTTAAAATTGCCCCAGTTGGACTGCAAATTCTTGTACTGAGGTTATGTTCCCATTTTTATGGAAGTGTACTGTACCTTGCATAATAGTTGCTTCTACAAGGCCCCCTGTAGTCTTGAATAGACATGGTCTCCGAGGTGTAACACACAGCTTTTGGAAGTAATTTGTCACCTACATTTTTGGAGTGGGCTAGGCAATGATTCTACGGATTCATCCAATATTGGCTGTATCCAAAGTGAGATGATTAGGCGAAGGAACTGATTGTCTTGTTTTGCAGGTTGTATAAAAGCACGAGTGAGACTTTGCTTTCACCTAGAGATGATAGGAGGGAGGAAGGCTACATCTGTAAGAGGAAAGAGTCTTCTGCAAGGAGCAAGTTCTGCACGCAGATCAAGGCAAATTTGGGATAAATTCAATTGCGGCTTTCAGAGGTCATGTTGCAAAATGTACAATTCAGTCCAATGATAACTAAACCTATCTCTGTAAATTAAGACACATTCAGGTCTGGATTCCATTTTTTTTATACCAGTAGTACGAGGAATTGGAGTGGTTTTGTACATGCATATCATGTGTAATAAAATAACCACAGTTAATTTCTCCATAATGGAAATGAAAGCTGTTCCTCCATGAAATTCCAGAGTAACAATGCAGCTTTATTTCAGAAATAGTGAGGTCTCTGGAATAAATATTGTGTGCCAGGAAGTCCGGTGCAGCAAATCTTTTAAGTTTACAGCAACATGAGTTCTGTGCTTCAGCATAGATGTACCTTTCTGGGTATGGTTTATGTTGGTTCATTCTATTTACTTCTAGTCAGCCTGATGATGCCAGGTAGCAGTGCCAAGAGCTCTTACCACTCTCTTAAGGGACATGTAAAAACTGGAACCAGGGTGGCAGACTTCAGTTTAGAAGACTTGCCTAGCTTGCTTGCCTAAATCTCTAATATAAACATTCATATGTCTGGGACTTTCCATACTAAAACAATTGTAATGTTCAATATAAACAAGAGAAAAATGATCAAAGGTGGTTTTGCAGTTGAAAGAAGCAGCAGATGTGGTGAAGTTGACTCTGAGTGTGTTTTTCTTCTTGCTCCAAGCCTTAAAAAATGTTTTCGTGTACTTCATGAATTACTAATGTTCATGGCCCAGTACTAAAGTTAAATTGTTACCTGCAGCATCTTATGACAAAAGACTGGCCCCATTTCAGCTATTAGCTGATGGATTGTAGAAGGTGTATTTATCTCTTGTCAGATAATCAGGTAGATATATCTAAATTGAATGGATTTTGTGTATTTGGTGTCATATAACTTTCTGATGTTCTGGTTTTCTCAGTGCTCTTCCTTTGTGTTCTCTGTTCTAGCAAGCAGAGATGAGCTCCTATCAAGAAAAGTAAAACTGGATTATGATGAAGTTGGTACATGTCAGAAAGATGTCATAAATGTTTGGGATAAGAAGTTACTGAACTGCAGAGCCAAAATCCGCTGTGACATGGAAGATATTCATTCTACTTTGAAAGAAGGTATTTATGTAGGATGGCTTTTAACTATAAAGTCTGAAGATTTATTTTTTGTTGCCATTTGATGCCAAAGGAAATCTGCCAGCAATACACTTTTTCCAGTATCACAAAATCATGAAAAAATTGCCTTCTTTTTGCAAATGTACCCACATCCCGCTGTCAAAGAGAAAATGGGTTCTGCTGTGTCTACAGCTTACAATGACAGTGATGCAGAAACGTGTATAGTCATAGTCCTGAAAGTAGCATCTTGTGCCCAGTATTATTACAGTGAAGATTGGAACATGGAGCTTCTGCAGCTAACACTGTGACCTTCTGGTTTCTAGTTTGTGGCTCTTATCCAATTGACTCTGAATTTCAAACGCTCTGGCTTTACTTGCTTACTGAGAAGGCAGGACCATAATGCCTTTTGTGGACTGTGCCCAAAACCCAGGGAAAGCTCACAAGCGAGCTTCAGAGAGTCAGAAGGACTACATCTTGTGGAGTCTGGACTATGGTCTCTTAGTATTTCGTTTCCTTGAGTGAAAGGCTGGGGATTTTGGCTTGAAATAGGTCTTCCTGTGGCTTAGCCATAGGCCAGAAGGGGAGCCAGAGGGCCTTGTTAGTATAATGCAGATGTAGAGTCTGATTGCACTGTTGTGCCCTCCTCCATGTAATCTCACGTCTGTATTACAGATGCTGAAAAGTTATAGTTCAGTGTAATCTGGCTGTGGTATAGAAGAGAAATTTAATTTGCTACCAAAGAAAATTGTGGTAGAAATAAGGTGGTTCCTGTTAGTGACCTGCCAAAGACTGCCAACAAACGTCTTTCCTTCCTAACCTAGTTACTGTTGCTGGACTGCAGTTCAGAGTTTGGAACAAGGATATGCTTTTTCTAATTTGTATTCTTGCTAAATAATTATTTGCCTGGAAAGTATTAGCAGAGTTGACAATTTATTTTGATTTTCAAAGGTTGGTTTACAGAGTCAGGGGGATGTATGTGAAAGTCTGAAAGTAGTATTTTAATTTAGTTTGTGCTTTCATAGGTGCTTGACTGACTTGAGAGAAATGCAGTCTTTCAATATGAGTGGGTCTGTGTCCTTCACAGAACGGTAGGGGTTGGAAGGGACCCCTGGAGATCATCCAATCCAACCTCCCTACTACAGCAGGATCTCCTAGAGCAGGTTGCACTGGATTGCATCCAGGAGGGTTTTGAATATCTCCAGAGAAGGAGACTCCACAACCTCTTTGGGCAGCCTGTTCCAGTGCTCAGTCACCCTCAGAGTGAAGAAGTTTTTCCTCATATTCAGGTAGAACCTCCTGTGTTCCAGTTTGTGCCCATTGCCCCTTATCCTGTCACTGGGCACCACTGAGAAAAGCGTGGCCCCATCCTCTTGACATCTGCCCTTTAGATATGTATAAGCATTGATTAGATCCCCTCTCAGTCTTCTCTTCTCCAGGCTAAACAGACCCAGCTTTCTCAGCCTTTCCTTATACAAGAGTTGCTCCAGTCCCCTAATCATCCTTGTAGCCCTCTGCTGGACTCTCTCCAGTAGATCCGTGTCTTTCTTGATCTGGGGTTCCCAGAACTGGACAGAATATTCCAGATGTGGCCTCACTAGGGCAGAGTAGAGGGGGAGGATAACCTCCCTCGACCTGCTGGCCACGCTCTTCTGAATGCACCCCAGGATACCATTGGCCTTCTTGGCTGCAAAGGCACATTGCTGGCTTGTGGAGAGCTTGTGGTGCACCTGGACTCCCAGGGCCTTCTCTGCAGAGCTGCTTCCCAGCAGGTCAACCCCTAGCCTGTATTGTGATGCCTGGGGGTTATTTCTCCCTAGGTGGAGGAACTTGCCCTTGTTGAATTTCACATGGTTCCTCTCCCCCCAGCTCTTTAGCCTGTCCAGATCTCGCTGAATGGCAGCGCAGCCTTCTGGTGTATCAGCCACTCCTCCCAGTTTAGTGTCATCAGCGAACTTGCTGAGGGTACACTCTGTCCCCTCATCCAAGTCCTTGATGAATATGTTGAACAAGACCGGACCCAGCACTGACCCTTGGGGCGCACCGCTAGCTAAAGGCCTCCAACGAGACTCTGCGCCGCTTATCACAACCCTCTGAGCCCTGCCATTCATCCAGTTCTCAACCCACCTCACTGTCTAACTCATCCAACCCGCAGTTCCTAAGCTTGCCTATGAGGATGTTATAGGAGACTGTGTCAAAAGGCTTGCCAGAGTCAAGGTAGACAACATCCACTGTGCTCTCCTTGTCCACCCAGCCAGTCATGCCATCACAGAAGGCTGTCAGATTGGTCAGGCATCATTTCCCCTTGGTGACCACTCCGGATAACCACCTTCTCCTCCACGTGCTTAGAGATGACCCCCAGAATGAGCTGTTCCCTCACCTTTCCAGGGATGGAGGTGAGGCTGACTGGCCTGTAGTTTCCTGGGTGGTCCTCCTTGCCCTTGTTGAAGGCCAGAGTGACACTGGCTTTCCTCCAGTCCTCAGGCACCTCTCCTGTTCTCCATGATCTTTCAAAGATGATCAAGAGTGCCTTAGCAATAACATCTGCCAGCTCCCTTCCTTTGGTATGCAGCAGTAATGCTTTTAGGTATAAACTGACCATTTTGTAATCTGTACGTCTTTCTCCAAGCCTATGGACTGACGTGAGCAGCCCTTTGGGAAGCGGAAGAGGAGATGGACCTCTTTGTATTTTGTACCTCTGGATTTAGTTCAGCCTTTCTAAACAGGATGGTCTGCATTCTACATGTGGTCATGCATCTTTTCCTGCTGGAGACTAACAGCTCAGAGATGGCAAAACAAGTGATGTCTGTACCTCAGTTGCCCAGTTTACTGCTCAGAGTAATTACCTGAAGTGTGTAGTTAATGTTTAGTTAGTGGGACTGAACTGTGGTTACTGAGGGAATACACTGCAGAGTGGACAACTTCTGAAGCTGACTGTTTGAAAGGGATCCTCCACAGTGGTTTGGCTAAGATTATGACAGGCAAGGTTATGACAATAAACTTGCAAATTCTTCTGTTGTAGCGTAAAAATATGCCCCTGCTTAGGCCTCTTGTTTTTTGACTGACCTGCAGGTGTACCAAAAAGTCGTCGGGGAGAAATTTGGCAGTTTTTGGCTGTGCAACATCGAGTCAGACACAGACTGCCAAACAAGCAGCAGCCTCCTGACATCTCTTACAAAGAACTCCTGAAACAACTGACTGCTCAACAGCACGCCATCCTTGTAGATCTAGGTACGTGTGTTTGTACCTGGGAGATTACTGTTGACTCATTTCATGTGTCCAGGTGGAAACACACCATTCTTAATGGAAGCTGTTGCTGGAGATTGATGCTGCTGTATCAGCACCACTTTCTATGTCATCAGGACACATTTTGTATATGCCACTTAATGTCCTCTAAGCAGATGATTTCATAGGTTATGCTGTTCGTATTTATGCTCTTCTACATCTGTCTGAAAAGAGAAATCAAGCAGTTGCTTCTGCAAGTTCTATGTAGATGAGAATATGAAAGGAGTTCAATGGATACGGTCTAAAATCAGGTAAATTACAGATTGATCTGACTAAAATCAACCTGCATATGAAAGCAAAGAGAAAAGGTCTATGGGAAGAGAGAAGTGCTGCTTGTCAGATGGATCTGTTGGTTTTTTGTTTGGTTGGTTTTTTTAATGAGAAGAATTTAATATCAACTACTCTTCTCTCTTTGTATCAGGACGGACATTTCCTACGCATCCTTACTTTTCTGCCCACCTGGGAGCAGGACAGCTATCACTCTTTAATCTCCTGAAAGCATATTCTTTGCTGGACAAAGAAGTAGGTTACTGTCAAGGTATAAGCTTTGTAGCTGGAGTGCTGCTTCTACATATGAGTGAGGAACAGGCCTTTGAAATGCTGAAATTCCTCATGTATGACCTTGGCTTCCGTAAGCAGTACAGACCAGACATGATGTCGCTACAGGTAAGTCATTCTTTCTCCTAAATCAAACCAGAGTTTTAAATAAGTTTTGAGGTCTCAGAGATTGCTTATATTTTCCAGGGTCTTATGAAGCTTCTTGTGTTGTTTTGGTGGTTGTGAGGTACATGAAAATGTTACTGTCAAACCCTCTCCAACTCTGAATTTGCAAACAGAGAAGTTCAGAACTTGCAGGCTTTTCCTGTCACACGTCCCCATCATCTCCTGTTTGGAAACTCTGCTTTCTCTGCTATTTTGCTGTTCCTTTTCTTTTCCTTACTTCTTTCTCTTCCTTATGCCAAAACACTGGTATGCATATATCTGTACAGCTAGAGTTTAAATTTGATTTTGTTTTTCTTCAGCCCATAAGCCTTTAGATGTAGATTTTTCTCTTGTATGTCAAATCAATTGTGACACCCAGCGGCCACTTGATGCATTCCACAGGCATTTGTACTCGAAGCTGCTCTGTCTTGCCTCATTATTTCCACCTCTTTTCTCTCCATGTTAAGGGTGGTGGGTAGAGGATGATGAGAGAAAACAGATGAATTTTTAATCATTTAGTTTGCTTATGAAACGATGCATGCTCTGCAATATTAGTCTTTTTAACACCTAGCTATAGATACTAAAGGCTGCTTAGGAAAGAGACAGAAAATCATTATCTGTGTAAACTTCAAGGTTTAAAGTTTGAGAAATCTTTCACCTTGAGATACAACAGTACGCTGACTTAAATAACTATATGCTGTAAGCCCCTAATATTATAAAGGGATATATCACTGTTGAGTTAAAGCTTGAAATCCACAGTGGAGAAGGAGAAAACTAAGAGGCAGATACAAAAAATACCTTTTTTTTTTTTCTTCATGCTCCCTGCATAGCAAACATTTATAATTAAGTAAAACTTGAGGGGGAGTTTCAGTCCACTTTTCATGACCAGTCACTTCAAGTGCTTATTTGGCAAATGTCCAGAACAATAGAATAGATTGTAGTTAAAGAAATTGTATGTGCTTATTCCAAAAATTATAGAGGGGGGTGTTTTATTGTGGATGAAAGTATGCTATAACAAGTTTGTTGTGATGAATTAAGGGTGAACAGTCATGAAGAGCATTGTTCTGCCTCTTCCCTATCCCATCCCCCACCCCCCAATATGTTTAGAACCAGTGTGTGTGGGGGTGTCTAAGTGTGATAAATGCATGGTTGTGGGACTTTTTTTCCCCCAGAAGATGCTCTTTTAGTGTTTGTATGTTATACTGCAGTTGTAGACTTTCAATAACATCTGATGGTTTGAGAGCAGTCAATTTTCCAGGATTTCACCTTTTGATTTAAATAAGTCTGAAACTTTCACTGTCAGAAGCTCTTAGGAAGAATACTTCAAGTTTGAGAAGGTTTACCGCCTGTAGTACTGTTTGCCCTTTAAATGAAATGATCTCTCTTTACCCACAGTTTGCTCCTAGGTGGTTGTCCTGTTCTAGACAAAAGTACAAGTTTTGTCTGCTCGAGGCAAGGTAGACTATGGAAGATGACTTAGAGGATCTCGCTAAAGCCTAACCCTTTGGTTTGGTTTTTAACAGGAGTAGAGCACTTGCAAATTCTTTTGCTTTTACAGTACTGAAACACAAGTAAGCCTATATGCAGAATTAGCTTCTGTCCTGTAGAAGAAAAATGTTGGATGTTTCTTTAGGATAATGAAAACTTATTTGACTTACGTTTTAATTTTGTCAGGAAAAAGTAGTTATCTAGCTCCTTAGTTCATAATGAACTCACCCAAGTGGTTTACTGTCTCTGTGATACTATTCTAATTTCACACATAAATGTATTTTGTATTGACACTGTCCAAACTGTGCTTAATTAGTATCTTTGGCAGTTAAAACAAGGACTCGAACCCATGCACAAATTCAGCTAATTTGCCTGAATGAGACGTGATCTGTCTTCTTGAGGACGCTGCTGACTGATAGTTTCAAGTGCAGTCAGTTTTTGGTAGGGAAGAATCATGACCACTAAAAGTAGGAACATAGCTGGATCCAATAAGTCATTTTCTTATTGAGGGATGGATTCACCTTAAGCGTAAGGCACTGCTGACAGCAAAATTGGACCTGAGAGCTAATCAATATATTTCTGTTTCTCATCTTCTGCTTTCTGAGAGAAGCATTACTCTGTGCTGTAACTAACTGTGGAGTATAAACTATCAAAATTGCAAGGAAATAATTTGCCACAGAGCGATATTTTTAGCAATGAATAGCAACTTTTAACCATTTTGCTTTGCAACCTTTTACAGATTGCATAGAAGCACTTTTTGTATTAGTATCTTAAATGTCTATGGACCACTGGCATATGGGAGGTGCGCTGGGAAATACGTATGTGGTACACCTCTACTGACGCACTGTGTCTAATGTACTCTGTGGGTCAGAGTACAAAGTGATGACTGTAGCATAGGAGTTCTAAATGCAGCAAAAATATGGCCAAGATTCAAAGGGTAAAAGTTGAAATGTGTAAATTTAGCCAGAAATAGTTCAGCTCTGTAATGTAGAGTTGTGGCATCTTGGAAGAGGTACTTCTGCTTTCATTGCTGCAAGACTGAAAGTTCTGGTTTCTTGATAAAGTTAGATCAATATATTCTCCTCTTACCTTAAGCCTGTGAATCTAAAATGATACTTCATTAATAATCAGGTTCAAACTGTTCTTTGTTATTGACTACTATGTTGGTTTTAACTCATTAGGGGTGGGTTGTTTATACACGAGTAGATACACTTGAGGCCCTAGGCAACAATTAAGCTTCATTTTACAGTACCATCTGTACTGGAGGTAATTTCCCTTCGATGAAATGTGAATGGTTTGGAAAACTAAGTAAAGCTGAATTTTTTTTTCTCTACTTTCTCCCCCCTCATGCACTGTAGATTCAGATGTATCAGCTCTCAAGGCTTCTTCATGATTATCACAGAGACCTGTATAATCATCTTGAAGAAAATGAAATCAGTCCCAGTCTTTATGCTGCACCATGGTTTCTTACACTGTTCGCATCTCAGTTTCCGTTAGGATTCGTAGCCAGGGTATTTGGTAAGAAAGTTTATTCTATTGCAATAATAAACAGAACAATGTTGGCCATTGTGTTTTGAAACTCTCAGGGAGTAGTGTTCTACATACTAGGGACATTTGGGGTGACTGTTGTGGGTGGCAAGTAGGAATGCTCTTCGTGGTGGGATGTCAGTTCCTTTTCAAAGAGGAAAACAGAAATGTATTCTTTGAAACATCAGACTTGAGCAATTAAGTGTGTCTGCTGTTATTAGCCAAGAGACTTCAGAAGTGTGAACAGCAGGAAGTTTATTGTTGCAAATGTATTTTATGCATCGAGCATTCAGTTTATGTCTATAGAAAAGTTCATCTTGTTGAACTTGCGATTTGAAAAAGGAGAATGCATTGGTTTTCTAGAAAATGTTTCTGAATAACTGATTCTAAGTGCTTTCTAATAAAAATTCAAATAAGTTTGAACTTAAAGGCTGTTTTCAGGTATTCATGTATATATTGAACAGTTTTCTATCTAAGCATGCCTCTTACTCCATTTAGATATTTTTTTCATTATATGCTCCTCTTCAGATAACATCTAGTACAGAAGCTTAAATAGTGATTATGCCTTGTAGTGTTTACAGTATCAACATGTCAAGTACGTGGTTTTGTATTCTTTTAGTGTCAGTAAGAACTTGCAGGTTAATCAAATTTCTAGTAATGCAGGGTTTTTTGGTTTTGGGTTTTAATTTACTTATTAATGTAAAACTCGCTGTGCTCAGATAGGCACCAAGAAGCTAGGAGCATATGTCATGTACTTCCTCTTAAATCAGAGGTTTTTTCCATTTGATTTTTCTGTTTTCATACAGCACCTTTTGTCTTTTAATAAGACAAAAGCTAGGTTGAATTTCTTCAGTTCTATTACTGGAGTGTGTTAGGTTTTTAATTTGTCTGGTGTGGTGGTTTGTGGGGGGGGAAGAGGACTTTGGTTTTGGTTTTCTTTTTTCTTTCCTTTTTTTCTTTTTTTATTTTGACTGGTGATTTCTCCATTACAGAGGGTTTTTTTCTTTTACAGCAAACTTCCTGACTGCTCTTTGGGTAAACAAATTATTGGTATATCTGTTTTTCAGTGGTATTCACATGATTCACATTCTCTTTCCAAGTGGGATTATTGAATTTCAGGATACTTAAGCATTTAGGGTTTTTCTTTTTGATTTGTTTTTCAAGACTAAAGTGTTCTGTTCTTTTTTTTTTTGCTTGTTTCTGGTAGGCTTTGAATTTGGAAAATGAATTTTTTAAGGGTGGGGAGGGTCAGTGTTCATTTCTCTGAGAGCTGAGCAAGGCACGTTCTCATTTTAAAACTCAAAAGTCACTATGTTATTTTTCTTCCTAATGCTGTGAATTCCTGCATCTTCAGTGTCTTATGGGCCATTGTCACATACCAGGAACAGACGGTTAATGTCTACCCATCATTAATTACATATTTATGCTGCTTGAATGTACATCATAGACTTGAGAAGGGAGACTTTTAGGAGCTGTGTTTGAGATGACTGCCTCCCCAGTGTCCTTGGTGCTGCCCTGTGATACTGGTTTAGGGCCAGGGGTGACCTCTCAGTATTGGGATCAGAAGTTTGAGTTTGTTTAATTGCATAGCCCTGCCCTTGGCATTGTGACAGAGCCAACAGCGCAGGAGGCTGATTTGAACTGCTCATGTGCTGCATTCATCTTAGTAACTGCAAGTCCACCACTGCTACCGAGACCAGGTTTCTAGTTACTGTGATCAAGTGTCCAGTTTTGGCGCAGTCTGTGTCTACTGACTTCTGCAGAGCCCGGATTTTGCTCTCACATCCATGTAATTATACCTCAAAGTAAGGGTTTGGGGCATAAATTATAGCTAATGTGATCACTACTATAGGTTTTGAAAATAATATGGTTGGTTATGGAATCGACGTGATCATTTTTTAAGGACTAGCTTCTGCCTGTAGAAAACAGTAAAACATCAGTACGTTGTGTTGTGATCTGCTTTCCAATTGCTTTTCAGTCATAGATGCATTTAAAAGCAGTTAGCATTTAGTTAATAGTCTATAGTCTACAGTAGACAGTAATGAAATCCTTATTGCAGATAGCAATTACAGACATAACAAGCATGTGATATTTTCTTTAATGTTCTCTCACATCTGTAAGATGACAGAAAATGTTTTTATATGCTTTAACCTCATGTTGAAATAAGACAGATTGCCCTTCTGAACTGAATAAATCTGCAGTATGATTGATTAAAAAGAAAAATATCCCAGCAAATACATGTATTTATCCAATGACATTAGCTCTCGTTTTCAAGACATTTTAATGATTTTCTTTTTTAGACATTATTTTTCTTCAAGGAACGGAAGTCATATTTAAAGTAGCACTGAGCCTACTTAGCAGTCAAGAAACGTCTATAATGGGATGTGAGAGTTTTGAGAACATTGTTGATTTTCTTAAAACCACTATTCCAGATATGACTCAACCTCAAATGGAAAAAATTATTACCCAGGTAAGGTTGTTTTTCTCTTTACATTTTTTCCCCACCATTTAGTTTACTTTAAAAGAATTATGCCTAAAGTATATGTAAAAGTCTTCTCAGTACGTTCCTTTTGGTTTGAAATGCAAAGGAGTCATCTTCCCAGTAACTTGTATAGAAATAGGATATGAGCTAATTTCAATGGGTTTTGAACTGCAATTTTAGCAAGACTTTAGTTGCTCAAGGTTTACTACAAAGGTTCTTTTATGCCCCAGCTACTGAGAAAACGTGACTCTGCTTATAAATTTCATGTCACTATCAGACAGGTAAAAGTAGCCTATTTTCCAAACCTAAACCCAGCTGTTGCTCCCTGCTAGTGGGTGAGCAGTCCAACCGTTTGTGACAGGAGTCACAGCTTGCCATGGTGGGAAGAGGCAGCATCACAGCAGCTTCTCCTCCTGATCCTTCAAACTTTTGGCTGCACAGGCCTGGGTACCCCTGTAGAAATTTTTCTGACACCTCCAACTTAAAATCCTACAGGCTGGGAGGTTGGTGAGACTCTATTTCAATGTTCTGTATTAAAATCAAGGTTAAGCAAGCTTTTGTTGTTGTGTTGCGTGGACAGCTTCTGTTCTTCTAGGGATCACTTTTAGGGTGCCCTTGTGCAACTTCTGCCCCCCCCCCCCTTGGAGGGATCATGTTTGGCAGGTGCTTGGTGCCAGACATAAAAACCCCTCAGGATTGATCTCTGCCTGCCTTGGGTAAGGGAAAGGAGGACTGGAGTAGTGTTATTTCATCAGTATCATTGCAACTTCGTGACAAAGGTCAAGAATAGAAGAGAAATAAAGAATTACTGATGCTGATATAGGAAAAGCTTCTTGTGAAATACTGTCAGTGGCTGGGATCTTCATCTCTCTACATCCTCTGCATTGAAGCTGCAAATTGAAAATAAGCCTCAGTCTAGTACCTTAATTGTGAACGTGTGAGCTGTTTTCCCCCTTCAGGTGGCAGTTTGGAGATAACAGAAGAGCTCTAGAAAACCATCTCTGTGTGCAGGAGTGCAGTTAACTCTGATGCATTCCTATGGCTTGGTTAACACTAGAATGTTTCAGGTTCTGTCAGTTAAGAATTAATTTTTAGTCAATGTGTAAATCTTCATTTCCTCATTGCACTGATTGTGATTGTCGTGCTAAACCTGTGTTGGGTGCTTTAGTGACTGTCTTCACAACTCACTGATTCTGGCAATGATAGAGATGGTAGTTCGGTATTTCTGATACTATTAGAAATTAAATGTGTCCTGTGGTCTGCATGGGTTGCAAAGCAATCATGCTGTGGTGAGCATCTTAGTGGCTTTGTGCAAAGCCAGGTCTGAGTAAACAATGGGTTGTATAGCCTGAGTGGAGGTGGATGTGGTTATACGCAGGTCAGCTCAGCTCTGAGAGGAAGGTCGCCTGCTTGCCTGTGGTGTGCTTTCATGCTGAGCAGCCTTCTGGATCTGAATGCACATGTAGACTGCTGCCTATATCGTATTGCTCCTACCTAGGCTGGCTGCAGGTGGAGTTGTTTGGCTGTCTCAGCGTTGGCATTCCCAGGATCATCATTTTACAGTGGATAATGAAAGAAAATGTAGACAGCATGCAGGACTCTCATACACAGATGAACAATTGACCAAGTAGCTACATATAGGAAAATGGCACTTGCCCAGTTTGCACACCATATGTAATTTAAAGTTTTACCTTACTGGAATTACCTGAAGAACAGTGAATGTAATGCAGAACTTGTTTTGCTGGAGTATCTGTGTCTTTTATTGGTGTAATGTTTGTGATCTCTGGAATAAGGAACAGAATTAATGTCACTGTAGACATCCTTTCCTTCTAGTCTAAGCTATTTGATAACTTTTGGGAGATGGGAGGCTGTGTCTAGATGTATAAACAGATAAAGATCATGTGGCCCCATCACTGCTAGGTGCTCAGTTCCATAGTCTTCATAACGCTTTGTAACCAAAGCATCCCAGGAAGAAAGTAGTGTATCTTCATGCAGAGACAGCACAGGGAAACTGTAATCATGAAGATTGTTCTTATAGAGGTCTATAAATGGGCGCTTGGAGTCACAAGATCTAGTTTTGAGGGTGGGGATCTGATGACTCCTGGATTATTCTTCCTCATTGTGTGATCCTGTTCCCATCACAAGCTGGTGAGACTTGAATTTAAAAGTTTCTTCTTGAACTTAATATTCCTGAGCAAGAGATAATAGCACTTGGTCATATTATAAAATTATTGGATTAAATAACACTTTTTTTGCTGGTACATCTGATAGTAAGAGGTGGTATTTATAATTGTAAAAGTGATGATCCAATTTATTCTAAAGTCTATGATTCATTATGGCTACAATAAGAACTCTAGATGCTGAAATGCTCTTACTGTAGACTTCCCCTTAAAATAGTGTTGTGGGAGGAACAGGAAAAAACATGAAGTTAATCAACCAAAGTTGCCTCTTAGCCAAACATTCGTGGGGAATAAATGTTCTCTGTTGTAATTTGTAATTGCTTTTTTCCTCTCATGGCAGGTGTTTGAGATGGATATTTCAAAACAGCTCCATGCCTACGAAGTAGAGTACCACGTTCTACAGGATGAACTGCAGGAAAACGTGAATCCCTGTGATGAAGGTGAACCCCTGGAGAAGCTGGAGAGGGCAAACAGTCATCTGAAGAGACAGAACATGGATTTGTTGGAGAAGCTACAGGTAAATGACTTAAGATCACAAACTCATGGAGAGGTCACTTCAGTTATTCAGCCAATAGAGAAGTGTCTTTTTTTTTAAATGTACCTAAGAAATCTCTTAACTGCAAGACCTTATACAGTTGAGCAGTTCTCTCATTTACAGTGATTTACTTCTGTTAGACATATTTTTAAGTCCTTTGTCATTCCTTGGAGTATTCCTTCTTGATTTAGATTGATTTTTCTCAAAATATCGCTACCTTTATCTCCCATAAAAAAAGTTATTCAGAACGTCTCAATTTATAATAAAGATAATGTTATTGTTTTACAGGTTGCTCATGCTAAAATTCAGAGTCTGGAATCCAGCCTGGAGACTATTTTGACTCGAGAGAACAAAATGAAGAGCGTAATTCAGTCCCTGGAACAGGAGAAGATAACATATCAAAAGACTCTTGAACAGATAATGAAGTATTTGCCAGCAGAAGCATTGTCTGACTGTGAACTGCTCCTGAAGGAAGTAAACTACAATCCAAATAATAAAATAAAATGAGTAAGCCATAAACCAGGGTTTTTTTGGCAGCATTTCTTCAAAAAAAGGGAAAGAAAAGATGAGTATGCTGCTTTCAAAGGACTTAGCAATAGGCAATGGTATTATCCAAAACGCTAGTGCTGGGACACTCATAGCTACAGATGGGCCTTCAAATGTCAGTATGCAAATTCAGGCTATTAATTTTTTTATGATGGTGTAAATAAATCACAAGGGGGAAATAAAGGATTCTCACATGTAATTATGATGAGTAGATGTATATTTAGATTTGACCTAAAGGAAAAGAGAAATTTCAGTAATCAAAGCGAAGATAATGGTGATCTACAAATTCACTCTGGATATGCTTGTCTTATAGTGAAATGAGGATAGCGTGTCTTTATATATATGTATGTTGAATAATACTTGAAGAAAAAAAAGAATGTAATTTTCCCTCCAAAGAGCAGCATGTTTCACATCTTCTGTGGAAAAATCTGTGTGAACTCATGCGTGCCTCTTTTTTTTAATTCTACTGACATTGTGTGCACAGACCAATAAGCAGAATAAGTATCGTGACTTGGTTTGTACAGAAAGAGCTCTAGTGCCATCCACTGTCTGGGCTGTACCAGTCAGCAATGTAATTCCACATGCATGTTGGAACTGGAAACCAAAAGCATCACGTCATAGCTCCGCCTCTGTAACTCAGAGCTAAGAAATAGTTATCTAGACACGCTCACAGAACTTGTAAAGGCAAGAGCTAACGGTGACTACTACTTCCTTCCCGGCCTGTTTGCTTCCACCTCTCCTGGGTTGGTCATGATGACAGGAGGAAGGAACCAAGGCTGTAGGGTGGTATTTATTCGGATGTTAATTTTCTGCAGGAGACTTGCTGTCATAAGAGTTAGGCATGTAAGAGGTTCTCATTTAACCAAAGAAATACTGCAAGAAGACTTGTCTTACCATAGTGGGAGCCAGAAAGCTACTCTTAAATTTTATTTGAAGAGAAAATTGTGGCAGGTTGCAGGAAGTTGAGCATAAGTGCACGGGAGAGGACCAAGGAAGTTTCAAATATTATATACCTTTCAGTTTTCACATAGACAGTGGATATACATTTGAAAGGGGATTCTGAAGTACAGGTGCAGTTATAATACTGGCTTTCCAGGTTATTCCTGTTTTAATACTGCTTTGTGGTCTTTTTTTTAAAACAAGTCATGAATTTGTGTGTTCCAGGCAGAAGGTGAGGTAAGCTCAGATCATTTCAAGGGAGAAAATATGTTTATAAAGGTATAAAAAGATGCGTATAGATTTGAAAATGTTTTTGAGTGGAATTTTTGAAAAGGCTTAGGCAAATGTGTAATAGACACGTATTTTGGAGTGCATGTCTGAACCGTTAATTGAGTGTTACAGTGGCTCATGTTATCTCTTACCATTTATACTGTATTTCAGGAAGCACTTACTCTTTTTAGTAAGAAAAGCAATTAAGCAAAGTGCCAAATCCAGCAGTGTCTTTATGCATAAGATTGTCCAATTTAGAAAGCAAGGACTGAGTATCACTACTTTCTAAGTATTATGCTTTATGTTAACATAAAAGTGAGGAACAACAATGCTGATTTGCTGCACGCTGCTGTGGAACTTAGGGGCTTGGGGTCTCCTGGGTTTTTTTTGTTGTTGTTTTTTACTTCCATGGTGTTTTATTTGATTAAAGATATTGATTTACTTAACAGTCTTTCTTTTTACAGTTGGAGTGAAAGGTCTTAACACTGCGTATAAAATTATGTGGAATCTGTCTATTTCAAGAATATTGTATTGTACTAGGTGGGAAAATGCCAAGTGAAAAGGTGGTTCTTTGCAGTTTTGTTCAGAGTAAGTTTTAGCTGATGTGTACATACAAAACCAATCCCAGGAACTGCAGTAGTGTGTATTACAAAGAATCAAAGTTATTCAGATACATCTTTTTTTTTTTTTTTTTTTTAAGATGCACTGAATGTGCTTTATCCTCTGTTTCACTTAAACAAATTTTCATGTAATGCCTGGAGAAATTCCAATAAATGTCATTGCTGCATTTCCCATGGCCTCTGGTTACTTTTATTTTTCTACATTTCAAGTACGAATCTCATTCTCAATAGTACCGTTTACAGGAAGGATGAAAAGAATCTGGTTTTAGTTTCTAGTTGCGCGGAAGAAAAACCTACAAGATTCGTAGAAGGACACAGGGAAGATAGAAATTCTTATCGAGGAAAATAGTCTTGCATTGTTCTTAACTGAAGATGAAATGATTAAAAGGTATTTTTCTTCTGTAGTAGTTCATTTAGTACATATGCATGTTGAGAATAGTAATTTGATGAACTATGTGCTGTGCATCTAGCTTGGGAGGAGGAGGAAGATGCCGTATCAAGTAAGAATAAGCTACAGAATTAAAACCACAATGAGGTAAGCGCCTCCTGACATTAGGACGTTTGTGATAGCATTTGTATTCTGCACACAAGCGTGCCTTGTAACTGGGTATCTCTAGGGTGCCTAGCTTGAAGTCTGCACTTGAGCAGGTATGCTCCAGACCATTTTCAGATGAATAACCAGCAACATTATCTAGAAGACTGTGAACGACATGTGTGTTTGTGTCCATCTGTTTGTCTCTCCCTGTCTATCTGTTCTGGTTGTGCAACTGTGAAGAGGGAAGTCTAAGGTACAGCGAGACAGAGCTGCAAGGATATTTGCTCGGGAGAAGGGATAGTTCCTGGGTTTGGACAAGTTGCTCGTTTATTCCTATATCTTGTTTTTTTCTGTTTGGAAAAACAGTTTTCAGAATAAAGCTATTGTTCTGTCTGAGCTAAGTACAACAGCCCTCTCAGTTTTTGCAGTCCACCTGTGGAGAACTAACTCAGGAGGAAAAAGTATCTGCTGTTTTCAGGAACAACTAACTTTAGACTGGTTTCTGCTGGCAGAGGGCCTTTTTAGAAGCCTGGGAAGAGATCCATCCTTTTAGCTAGCAAACTAGCTTGTAAATTAAAAGTACTACTTGCCAGGAGCACAGTTTAATTAGGTCAGTCTGGTAAGAAGGACTAACGTAGGGAACTCTGGTATTCGTATCTTTTATGGATGAAAAACTTGGCCAGAAATTTGTGGGTGGGGGTGTTTTTTTGTGGGTTTTTTTTTTAATCCTAAAAAGGAGAGTCTGTATTTCTCTCCTTAAAAGAGGAATATTTAGGGTGCCTTTAAGTTGCATTTTCTTCACTTTTCTCTAAAAAAAATAATAATTAGCTATTACTGAAAAATCAGTCTCCTGATAAATGTCATGTTCCAGATGAAGACCTGACTTGAAATCACAAATCTAGCTAATCTTAAGTGGTTTGATTATTCCCTCTTCAACCTGACACTGCTTTAGTCTTAATATCGCTACAAGAAGGATGAACAATTTCTAACATAGGAAAGAATTTCAGCAGTTTGGTCCGAGATTTTGATATTACTAGCATGATCCAGAGGGTCTACATTTGGACACTTAATCTGAACCTAAAAGCACATAGGTATTGGTGTGAATAGCCTTTTGTGTGCTGAGGTGAATAACCCCAGGCACTGCTAATAGTGATTATCCGCTCTGTCTTTGTAGTCATAGATGGGTGTTGACAGGCATGTGCAGGCCGTAACATTTCAAGCTTTATGCCAGGCTTACACCATCCATTTGAAGAATTGTAATTGATTCTGTATTTCTGTAGTTCAGCTTTTACTGTCAGTGTTAGCTATTGAATGCATTTAATGTATACTTTGCCTTCCTCAGTCTTTCTAGTGACTAGAAAGAACAAAATTTAACTTTCTTTTCCAAAAAGACATACTGAATGCTTAGCTCTGTCCTTCCCCCAGACATCTGGTGTGCAAGGGATAGAGTTTATATGCTTAAAGTTTACTATGTTAGCGCACTCTGAAAGCATATTAAACTCGGCAGTGACAGTAAAAAGCTGGGGAGTAAAGCAGAGATTACTGCATGCCTTGAGCAGCTAATGGGTTGTGTGCTGACTGGCTTGCAATGAAGTGGAATCTGGGCAGATTGGTTCTTGGTGTCTTGTTTGGTTTTATTTTACTGCTGACCTTTAATTCTGGACCAAAGGAAGGAGCTGGCAGTGCTCCTTTACGAAAATGTTGTGTTGTGTTTTCATTTGAGTTGAAAAGGTTTTCCACTCCTTTACTATTCTCTTCAGAACACTTGCTCAGCAAACACTTTTTAACAAGAGAATTGGGAATTGTCGTTGGTAGTCTTACCATCAGAAGAACTTCTCTTGGAGCTTATCCAAACTGTTCCTGTACTCAAATTACAACCTATTCAAGTTTTCACTCTGATAAAAGAAAGTTAGAAGGTTTTAATATATTGGTTTCATTTTTGGTTAGAGTGTGTGCTGAGAGACAACATGTCCTGCCAGAACATATGGGGGAGAAGTATTTGAGTGAGATTGTGCTTGTAAAACAGCTGGACTGAGACGTCACTTCCTAGTGTGGAAAATAGGTCTATATCTGACTACAAAACAGAGACCTAGTTGCTCTGACTGTGTGTACTCTATGCTGTTACGTGTCCAAATGATTTCTTCAATCACCTGCATACACTTACTGTTTGGAGTTGCAGATATTTAGATGTATACGGCCATTTTTGTCTAAAAAGTTTAAACTGTCTGTACCATCCAATTTTGAGCGTGAATGAGGCATTCTGTATAGTATAAGCATTCTCTTCACATCCAGAGTAGCCATCCAGCTGAAAACCTTGTTCCAGAACAGAAGAAACACACAATGAAGAAAGGGCTGGTTTAAGCCTATAGTTACTTTTCCCTTGGCTGGGCAAATGGGCTACCCAAAATAGAACTGTGGAATATCTCAAGTTGGAAGGGACCCATAAGGATCATCAGGTCCAACTCCCTGCTTCTCGCAGGACTACCTGAAACTAAACCATATGACAAAGAGCATTGTCCAGACATGTCTTGAACTCTGACAGGCTTGATGCCGTGACCACTGCCCTGAGGAGCCTGTTCCACTGACCAACCACCCTCTCAGTGAAAAGCCTTTTCCTAATGTCCAATCTGAACTTCCCCTGATGCACCTTCATTGCATTTCCTTGTGTCCTGTTGCTGGTCACCAGAGAGAAGAGATCAG